TACTACCTCAGTAGAATTTTGACTGAGGTAGAAACAAGGTACTCCCCTATAGAGAAGTTGTGCCTAGCTCTGTATTTCACTGCTAATAAGTTGAGGCATAACATGTTACCTTGTCACGTGCACATCATTTCCAAAACAAATGTGATAACGTATATGTTGTCAAAACCAATGCTAATAGGAAGGATTGGGAAGTGGATTCTAGCATTATCAGAGTTCAGCTTTCAATATGTACCCGAAAGGGCAGTCAAGGGCCAAGCAATTGCTGACTTCTTAGCAGAGCACCAAGAGTCTCAAGATGAGATCGTCAATGTACCAGGGATCCTGGAAGTAATTAATGTTTGGATCCCACCAGGCAAGGGTATCTCGGGCAAAGAAAAATGGGTTCAACAAGAAATAAAAAGGGTAACTGGTCTCTGGATTACTCTTTGGAAGCTTTATTTTAATGGTTCGTACACTTAGAAGGTTTCTGGAGCAGGGATTATCATCATAAATCCCAATGAGTTCACAATTATTATTCATTCCTTCTAGATTACCAAGGGAATACCAATAATCAGGCGGAGTATGAAGCCTTAATAATTGGCTTGGAGATCTTGATAGAGTTGGGGGCAATGGAGGTAGAGGTATTTGTTGATTCAAAGTTAGTGATAAACCAGCTAAATGGAGAATACAAGTGCAGACACATCACCATGGCTGGGTATTACTTGGCGACCACACAATTGTTGAGCTATTGGGATTCTGAAGTATCAGTTAATTATGTTCCCAAGGAATCTAATCTGGCGGCCAACGAGATGGCGTAAATAGCCTCGGGAGTACCAATCCAAGAAAGGAAGTATGGAGTAGATGTTGAGGTTCAAAGAAGAAATCTTCTTTCTATCTTAAAAGGGGGATTCAGTCTAGATATAATGGTCCTAAAAACCGAGACGGAAGACTGGAGATGGCCTATCATTCATCATTTGAAAGATCCTTCTGCACCCACAAGCAAGAAGAATAAACAACAAGCAACTAAGTATGTCTTATGGGAAGAGAACCTGCTAAGGAAAACTCCGGATGGGCTCCTATTGAAATGTTTAGGTCAAGAAGAATCTATGAGAGCAATGGCCAAGGTACATGAAGGGATATGTGGGGCACATCAAGCTGGAGCGAAGATGAGGTGGTTGATTAGGAGGTATGAGTATTTCTGGTGTGACATAGAAAAAGATTGCAAGTCTTATACCCGAGGCTATGAGGAATGTCAAAGGCATGGACCCCTCCAACATGTGCCTTCAGTACCTTTAAATTTGGTGGTTAAACCTTGGCCCTTTAGAGGATAGGCAATGGACTTCATCGGACAGATTTATCCATTTTCTAGCAAGAGGCATACTTTCATAATTGTGGCAACGGATTATTTCACCAAATGGGTAGAAGCATCAGCTGTAAAGACCATAACTTCAGCTGCAGTCAAGAAGTTTATTGAGACCAAGATTCTGCATAGGTTTGGGGTGCCCGAAACCATAGTCACGGATCGTGGGCCATCTTTTATATCAAAAGAAGTTGAAGATTTTGCAAGCAAATACAAAATAAAGATGATCCAGTCTAGTCCTTACTATCCTCAGTCAAATGGTCAAGCCGAAGCCAGCAACAAGATTTTGATAAACATTATCCAAAAAGCTAGGGAATACTTTGTGGGCATACTGAACCTCTAAACGGGCAGGAACGAGGACAACTCCTTATGCTTTGACGTTCGGGCAAGATGCGGTTCTTCCCATGGAAATCAATGTAAGTTCTGTCAAAATTCAAAATTAATTCGGGTTACATAATGAAGAGTACATAGAAGCTATGTGACAGGGGATTCAAGATTTAGATGTAACCCGAATTGAGGCCTTGAACCAGATTTAGGAAGGGAAGATAGTTGTTGCCCGAGCTTATAACAAGAAGGTAAAACTGAAGTCTTTCAAGCAAGGAGATTTAGTATGGAAGGCAGTCCTCCCTCTAGGAGCTTAGCTTAGAGGCTTTGGGAAATGGAGCCCGACATGGGAAGGTCCTTTTATTGTTAGTCAAGTATTAGACAAGGGAGGATATTACTTGGCTGATCTTGAAGGAAATTGGCAGAAACATCCCATCAATGTCAAATTCTTAAAAAGGTATTGCCCTACATTATGGGATGTTAGGGATTGTTATATTGAAGAAGATGAGAAATAAAGCAGGTGTTAGAATGCAGTGTATTTATCAACCATTCAAGAAGACAAAAAGATAAAAGTTGTTAAAATGATGCTTCATTCATTTCGACGAATTGATAAAATTACATCGGAGCAAGTCTCAATGTGTCATGTTTCTTTCCTTCTATGTTGTGTTGGTGTTTCAACTAGTTTCTGGTATCTACATGGACAAAACTTGGTCAGGCAGGTGATCGGGTTGTGCGGCCAAGATAAGCTTGGTAAAGGACCCTCGATAAGGATCATCACCGGATATGATGGTGAAGCCCGACTTATCAAAGCAACGAGCAGGAGGGCAAATCCTCAGGAGAAAACCGCCTGACCAAAGGTGTTGGGGATATCGGGGTGTCTGACCAAAGGTGTTGGAGATAGTAAATATTTGATTTCTCACAAAAAGGGAGTTTTAGGAACCCCCAATTGAATCCAGAGGAACCCATTTTCCAGGTTTAGAAGAAGACTAAGAAGGCAGAAACATCCGATGGTGATAAAAGAGAAGGTTGAAGATGATCTGTTGGCTGGACAGGAGAAGTTTTGAGCTGGAATTTATAGGAACTTCAAAGGATAGCTCAAAGGTCATGAGAAGAGAAAGAGATGCAAGATTGCATTCATCCCATCTGGAAAACACAAGTTTCGAGAGCAGGTATACAGGCATGCGGCTATTCAATTAATATTGGCGCCTGGAATTCCAGCCTAAATATTAATTGAAGGGGGCACTGTTTGGGCAAAACTTGAACTTTGGGTTAAGAAGAGGTTAGCCCAAAAGGAGGTTCAGAAGAAGGAAAAGTCCAAGGCCCAGCTGAAGTCCAGAAGCAAGAAAGGGCTTGTTTCCCGACCAGATACAGCTCATTTAAACTACCTGCTCACCTACCTAGAGGTCAAGTGGTGTAGACCAGCCAGCTAATCAGCCTAAAAGTACTTTACAATGGCAGTACAAGTAAAAAGTTGATGAGTCATTGCCCTTCATATGCATTCGAGCAAAATCAACACTGCAGACAGCCAAGCCAAATCGTCTATAAAAGGAGGAAGAAAAATCAGAGACAAGGACACTCAATCAAACAAACAAATACAAGCTCAAACTCTGCTCAAACCAGATTTGCCTTCACGAAGCTGTAGTCAGCCCCCAGTCTTCATCCCTTTCGGGATCAACCTTCACTAGAAATCCTTTGTAAAAGCTCTGCTACCTTGTTTAAATCTTGCTATAGTATCGATCACCTCATATAGATTCATCGTCCAATCTCCCCTTCTAGCATTCAAACACTCTGTAAATCACAAAGAGAGGAAGTTGCAAGACTATCAGCCTTGCCCGACAAGGTGAAACCTTGCCCGACCTCATTTGTTGTTGTCTTTCATTCATAGATCTAGTACTATGATGTATGTTTCCATCTGCATCCAAGTTATTGCTAGCCAGTTTATGATTAAAAGACTTCTAAGTTCTAACCATTCGGGCAGACAAGATTGACCAATTAAAAGTCCTTGGTCTCAAGGCATAAAAAGAACTTTAGGTGGCCTTAACCCATCCACGACAATCTTTGATCACCAAAAGTCCGAAGTTACTTGGGGCGCAAGTAATTGGCTTATCCTCTAGTTTTACTTCTGTTATATCATAATTCCCACAGAACGCTTGAGTATAGAATTAACTCTAATAGGAAGTCTCAAGGCCTATACCTAAGGCCCAACAAAGGCACCCATTTGACTTCATTCTACTTTGCGGGCTTGGGTAATTAACGTATAACGGGAGTAATACGTATGCAATAATGAAACAACCAAGATGTGCGCAAGTATTCGGTTAGTTTTGACGGGAAGCCTCAAGGCCTACACCTAAGGCCCCACAAAGGCACCTTTCATAACTAACTGGGTCGCTCGGGCATATATATATATACACCATAAAACTTAACATTGGTTTTACATCTGTCATGCTAAAGATGACAGTGGCACACCTGGATTCTTAAAGTTAATTTTAATTGTGAGCCTCAAGGCCTACACCTAAGGCCCCACAAAGGCACCTTTCAGAATTAACTTTGTCCTTCTCTTACAGCCCGCCAATAAGCAGAAGCCCGATAGACGATATCAACCGGCGCCAACCTCTCGGGGAGCTGTGTGCTCGTTGGCCAGGGAACGTCCTCACTGGATATTCCTCTAGACGAACAAATCCAATATAGAGAAGGAAAAACAAATGGTCACATATGCTAGCTAGTGTTGCTAATCCACGTATTACAATATGGATCACCGACATGATTGATATATATTACGTTGACTTGGGGAAAAATTACTCCTTACACAACCTAACAACTCAAGGTCGAGCAGAGCTCAAGCTTCTGTGTTTAATCAAAAGTATGATATGTTTAAAATGGATCGTATTCAATTAAATCACCCTCAGAAAACTATTAATTCCAAGAAAAGAATATATGATTTACTATGGGCAGCAGCAGCAATTGGCACTGGTTTAGTAGTTGAAAATATGAAAGAGCAACCCCTTGTTTGTATGAATTGCTTCCACCTTTTACTGTTCATGGTAATAAGAAAATGCTCAACTCAATTTCATAACTATTCACATACAAATTGATTTATCAAACATGCATGCAAGAATCCAATACTCCAACGAACGCCTAAAGTAGCTTTAACAGAAAGTCATCAACTACCATGGTTTCTCTGTATTATTTAGCACATTTCACAGAAATTTAGGGTCCGCTCGGTAAGTATATGGTTTTAGGTTTTAACTAGAAATTATTGCCCCCACACATTGTTGCGGGATTAAAAAATGTAAAAAGTATTATGTTTGACAGATATAAAAAATTGTGTCATAAAAGATTAATACAATTCATTGCTATATTTAATTGATACTCCACATAAAATTGTAGAAGTGTTGGCTATCTATGTACATAGAATATTACACATTCCACTTGGGTAGTTTTTGTGATATCAACAGCAGTACTTACATACAAAAGGTTATGGAACTTTGGGCTATTTACATGCAAAAAACGTTAAGAAATATTGTGTCATTTACATTGATAAAATATGACAAAAATTGTTCAATGGAACACCAAAAGCTCCCTCCAGTACTCTTGATTGTCAAAAAAGTAGTTTAAACCAATATAAGACCAAAAACTCTTCCAAATTCCTTGTGTATTCAGTTTCTCTAAATCAACCAACTTCTCCGTTCCAAACTATCCAACAAATATTTGACAGCAATACAACCAACCACCAACAAACATTTTAAACTCATCGAAAGATCAAAACCCTTTCAAATTTGCATGCGTATTAGTGATTTTCAACTAAATTATTTGGAGATGGAGACACACAAAGCTAGCATAGGAACCAAAGAAGATCTGCAAAAGCAAGTTAAGAGATCATCGTTTTCCAGAAACAAATTACATAATAAAATTAAGAACGCATTGTTAAGAAGAAGAGTACCTCAAATGTTTAGAAATTAAGAAATTGAGAAGCTCGGTTGCATGCAGAACGACAGTGTTTCGACCTGACATTTTAAACTCTTCATAACATCAATTTGCATCTTAAATTAGAATAAATCTCCAACGTTAGAAATATGAGTATAAACGAATGCTTAGTAAAAGAATTAGCCAATTCTAATAGAATTGTTAATCAAACTATAAAAGCAACATATGTATTTTTCCAAATTCAAACAGAACCAACAGAGAGAATCCAATTGAAATCCGAACAGCCCAAACAGACCATGAAGATTATACAATCAGAAGAAGAGATATTTGGGGAAGAAGAGTTCATTACATAGTCTGAAGGCAGCCGAGCAGCAGCAGAAACTAAAAAAGCGAACAACTTTGGCCTCAAATTTTATCTGAAAAAAATAATAAAATTAACAGGTAGGAGTGATAATGTTATTAATATGTGGGTTGTGTGTTGGTTTGTGTCTTTGAAACACCAAGAGGTCCAAAAATCGAAACAAAGTGGAAAATAAATCTTAAAAATTTTTAGCCAAAAAATCCTCTCTAGATAAAATTAAAAAGTAAATCATTGGAAAAACGAAACGTATATGACAACGAATAAGGCACTTGCAGGCCTCTTAAGCTTGTTCGGATCCTTCACAACCTCCTTGCTCGCATCTCCACGTTTACTCTTCATCCTATGAAAATCAGAAACCAACACCGACACACAAATAAAGATGAGATATGTGGTTAATATCAAACAGAGCTTGGTGGTGATCTTTTCAAAAGTCAAGTTCGCAGTACAACTTTATATTTGTTTTCACTTACATTGATGATAAGTATAATCAAGACAGAGAAACTCATGAACCAGCCTGTCAAAATCATTGACGAAGAAATGATAAATAACGGATTCTCAAAGATACAGAAACTTATCAAGAACTTGGACAATGAAGATACCCAAAAAAGGAATTTCTTGGACATGCAACCAACAGGTGTACAGAAAATTAAACAAAAATTCAAAATTGACGGTTCATATCGAGATCTTAAATCAAATAGCAAAAAGTTGTGAAAATTCATAACAAAACGGAAATAAAAAACATAATCTCACTTCGCATCAGTTTTTCTGTGAGTAGCAACTCTTGATTTCCCCATGTTCAACTAAACCTTCATAGAAAACTGCAAAAAAAAAACGATGAGAATCATTTATAAACGGCAACAAATCGATATTAACAAATAAAAAAGAAGTCGGAGCAAAAATAGAGAGAAAAAGATAGCTAGGAGATGGAGCGGAGGAGATGTTGTCCAAAGTTGAGGAATAAGGATGGAGGAGTCTGGAAGAGGAGACAAAACAACTAAAGCAAAGCAAAAGCAGAGAAAGAGGAGATGGGTAAAGTGACACGCGTCCCACTCAACACGTGTCACTATGCTAAGCCGCCAGGTGACAAAATCAAATTGTAGAAAGAAGTCTCCCGAACAACCCAGTTTTTCCACTCCTTCAATTTCAGGCACAAACGAAATAAAAGAACCCCTGTTGCATAGCAGGGACAAAAATGCCATTCTACTGTAGAATGAACAGTGATGACAGAAACAAAGAAAGGGCAAAAAAGGAAGAACACTGGTGAATGAACAGTAAAAAGGACACAAAGGGAATTAACCACAATGTTAGGCGTTTAGTATATATATAATTTCAATTTTTATTGTTAGAAACTTGAGGTCTGTTTGGTAACCATTTGGTTTTCAATATATATTGAAGAAAGTAAAGACGAAGAAGAGTGGTGGGAATGACGAGGAAGAAATGAACATGGAAGGGTGCATAAAATGAAAACTAAAATATGAAAGCAAATTTTAGTTAATTAAGCGTTTACATTTCCATGTTTTTCTTCGTCCATATATTCTCCTCATTTCTTCTTCCTCCCTCCAACTTTTCTTCATTTCTCATTTATTTATGGTAAAATTATGAAAACTAAAAACCAAAAACGAATCCACCATGACAACCTACAACTTTAAAAATTGCTATATATTAATGGAAAACTAACCAAAACACCCTCAAATCTTTACTTTTAATCATAAGGACAGATTTTTTCAAAAATGCCAATCCTACCCTTCACACATATGTACAAGATTGGGTCAGTTTTCTGCAAAGTTCAAGTGGATACATCCAAAATAAGAAAAAGGAGATTGACATTTTCAGAAAACATTTGCATGCAAAAGAATATGTGGCAAACATGCAACAACCAAGACAATACAGATTCACATGCAAAAGAAAATGTGGCAAACACTGCAGCAACCAAGACAACATAAATTCACATGACATTCAAGCAAAGACAAGATAGCCAGCTTTCAGAGACAGTGCTAACAGTTTTCAGAAACAGTGTGCTGTCACTATTCAGAAAATTGTAAATAGATGAAATGTTATTTTGTTTTTGAAGAATTAGATTTTGTATATAAGAGAGCCTTTCCTCCCATACAGAACACACAGGACCACACACCTCTCTCAAGATCTGAAAACACCATACTCACTCAAGCATTCGTAGCCTCCATAGCATCCTTATAAACACTTCTTTGTAATCACTTTCTTGTAAACAACTATCTCTGTAAACATTCCATATATCAATAAAAGTTCAAGTGTACATATTCAAGCAATCTCCAAGTCTTAAGTAAGTGTTATTTTCCTTATTTAGTGTGTTTGTTTAATTAGACTTCTAGTCCAAAACAGGGAAACATTATTATGGTTATATTATTAACCTGCTAAACTGACGATCATACTTTGTTCGAGCACTCTATTCTAGTTGAATGTTTGCCATACAAATAACTGGACATTAACCAGGGTACCTCTGAGTTCTTCGTACCTCTGAGTTCAGCCGTTAAGGCCTTATACTTGTACTGTGAGTGGCCGTCATGCTGAAACATGTCGAGTTCCATGTGCAAGGTTCTATGTCTAGTTGTTATAATGGTCATCCGACTATTTAACCGAGCATGCTTTTCGAATTTGGTATCAGAGCCAAGTTTAGCATTTTAATAATATAAGCATAATAGTAAAGTACCTTGAGGACAGAAGTCATTGATACAACTGATATCATATTTATTTATTGTGTATGAACAACAGATATTATTGTCCTTGTAGACCCTGTCAACCACAATTACCAGGTATTTATTGTCCCAGACATCCAACTATAACTAGTATAAAGAGAAGATTAACATATATATTCAAAAGAATTATCAGTACTTTGAAGAAGCAAAAATTTTATCTTGGCTACCTTGAACATCCTTCATTTATTCGTAAATATAATAACACAGAAGTGCAGCATAAAGTTTTAGAAGCAAAAGGAACAACATATCAAGCTTTAGAGACCTTGAGAGAAGAAAGAGAGTTTTTAACCAGTTAGCTATAACTCTAGAGAAGGGTAGACTGTAGTTTATGATAGATTATCTTAATTTAGAAATTAGTGAACCTCAAAGAAGAAAAATAACTTTAGACCAAAATAATTTAGTTTGTTATTTTCCATCAAGAAAACATAATCATATTTTGCATAGTGAAGAAAATCCGCAAGCCAATAGTATTGTAGATCTTATTATTAGTCAAGCAGAAAATATAAAATTAGAAAATAATAAGCATAATCATTTGTTAAACCAGTTGTTAGAACATTTTCAGAAAAATTCCATAAAGATAATTAGACAAAATTTAGATTATATTACATCTCAGTTAGAAGATAATAATAAAAATATTCAAAGGTTTCCTAGCAAAAGAGAGATAAAAGAGCTTGTTGACCTTATAGATAGTAAGCCAAAGCAAGTAGAACTTAGGTCATTAGAAATAGTTGAACAACTAAAATTAGAAGTTCAAAAAATTCAATTCGTACAAAAGGAGTTGAGTGAACAAGTAGATAAGTTGCATAATAAAATAGATAAATTATTAGTTTAATGACAGATTCTAGAACTAGCAGAAATTATATCCAAGCTTTGAAAGAAATTAGTAAGTTAGATAAAGAACCAGTAGGATTAACAGATTATTCAACACAAGTAGCTAGTAGTAATATTCCCATTAGACAAAATAATTTAATTATTCAACTAGTTTTAAGATTGGCTGAGAAATTAGACCAAGTTGAAGAACAAATAGCAGAAATAAATCAAGTTTTACATAACGCATCTTCGTCATTTCCACCATCTTTGTTAGACAAATTAGAAAATTTAACTTTAAGTGCAAATAATAATATTAGAAGACCTAAGATAAATCCTTTTGATAACCGAAAATGGAACTGTTTAAGAGAAAAGGAAAAGAAGTAGTTAGAGCTGAAGATATTTATCCAAATGAAGAAGAAGCACAAGAATTCATTAGAAGAGGATTTGAAAGAACACAGAAAAATAAATATAATTTGTACCAATTAGGTTTATTCGAAAATAGAAGTAGAATAGTAAGTAGCATCAGTCAACATGAAGTTAGCTGTATTGATAAAGAAGTTACGCTTAATTTAATTAGTAAAGAAGCAGTTACTCATTTGAGAAAATCACAATTTAGTCAAATTCATATAGGTACGATATTAATTGGAATAACAGGATTAACCAGAGCACAAGTAGGCACAAAAGCATTAGTATACATATATGATGATAGATGGGATAACCACCAACAAGCAGCAATAGCAACAGCCGAAGTAGACTTAAGTTCAAACTTAGTAGTCATATGATGTATTCCAAATTATGTTATGACAATTAATGAATTTAGTAAATATATTAAAGTGAGCATAAGAACAAAAAATTATAATATGAAAGGAGAATATAAAAATTTGTGTATTAGCCTAATGTATATAGGAAAAGTGTCTGATAGATATAATCATAAGTTTAATTTAGAGTTTCAAAATTTAGTTCAAACATTTGGTAGTAAACATGTAAATATGATAGAAGCAAAACCCGTAGATAATAGCTTTTTAGAAGGAACTCAGTGGACATTACCTAATTTACAAGTAGCAAGAAATAGACAACCAGACAAAGTACAAATATATGAAACTAGCACAGGTCAAACAACAATTAGATTTAGTAATTATAAACAACTAGAAAAAATAGAAGAGGATGAGAATGAGATCGAAAATGAGAATATACATATGGCCTTTGATAATCTAGATATTAATTTAGTTGAGCAAAATTTTGATCATATTGTAGACAAGCTTATAGAAGATATTGATCATTTAGATGAAGAAAAATACTTAGAAAAATATAAGACATATGATTTAGGACTACATAAAATTTTAGATGAAGAGATAAAAATTTTAATTTTAGAAATAGGAGTAGAACATATTTTAGGATCAAAAGAATATAATAATTTATTAGAATTAAAAGAAGAATGTAATCCAACAGAAGAAAGTAGTACATCAGGAGTAGAAAATTCAGGACAAGCAAGTAGAACTGATCAACAATTTTTGAGACCAACAAATGAACACTATAATGAAGGAGCACGAGTAGACCACATAGAAGAAAGCATGATAAAACCTAGAAAAAATAGGATTCCATATTTGAAAGGGTTAGAACAAATTAATATAGCTGGTAATATATTAAACTTAGACAATGTAGATCCACAAGATTGGGAGAGAACAATTGAAATATGGGAAAAGGGTTGCGTACATGCAGCATTGATGTTAGATTTTAGTAATTCACAAAATATGCTAGATTATTTTGAGCATACTTTAGATGGTTTAGTTTTTGATTATTTCCAGTCATGGAAAGTCTAAAATCCAGAACAGCATCAGGCAGCTAAAACACATTTTAATATTGATGGTTTTGTTACTTTGATTAAACAAGAATTTTAGATCATAATAGGTTAGATGGCAGAAGTGAATAAGAGCAGAAAAGAGCAATTAGAAATTTAGAACAATTACAAATTTGTGATTTACAATATATAGCTGAATATACCACTAACTTCTTTAAATATTTAGGAAGAACAAGTAGAATTAGTGATATTAATTTATTAGATACGTATATGACAAAAATAAAAGGACCAATAGGAGAAAAGATTTGGAATGAATGGCAAAAGCATCCAAAGAAAAATGATATTGCAATAGGACCTAGAATTCAACATGTATATGATATACTTAGACAAGAGTGTAGTCAAATAAAAGCTAAGAGACAAATTAGGAAACAATTTTACATGAGTTGTAAAAATATAGATTTACCACAACAATACGGTTGTCATAAGAAAAATAAGCATAAGAAAATATACAAAAAGAAATATAAGTCATATAAACCTTACAAACAACATAAGAATTTCAGTATAAGACCTTCAAGAACATACAGGAAGAGAAAATATATTTCAAAACAATTTAGAAAAAGAAGTGGCAGACC